GGATCGAAGCCTGATTTATAAACTTCCACCACCTGTCGGGTGTCCTAAAAGCACACGTTAAAAGACACACACACAAGATAATAAAGTAAGAAATCCATTCCTACACTATATCCGAAACGCTCCAACATTCATCTTAAATCAACTGTATTCCCAGAACTACTAAAAATCCACCCTGGACACTCACCATCCTGGGCTGGATGCCCTCAGCAGCATCCATCATGGCGTCCACACAACGACTCACAACAGGAAGAACTTTTCTTTCTGCCTCTGCTGACAAACGCATCGCTTCACAAATTCTTTCGATCCTCCGCTCCTCCATGTCCTGGATACGCTGAAAACACAGAAACATAATAAATGAATGCACCCTGGCACAATGAGCCTGGTGTATCTGGTGTTAATGGTACCAGTGCCTGGTACTTCCTGGTTTACCTCTGTATAACTGGCACCAGTATGTGGCAGTGCTCTTTAACCTTGTAGTTTAATGGAACCAGTGAACTCTCTTGCTAGTTTAGCAACCAGTTTGCCATACCGGTTTTTACCTGGTAAATAAAATACTGCTGTTAAAGGTATTTTACCAGATATATAACTGGTACCACTGTACTGTACTTCTTGCTTATATGACTGAAACTGCTGGTTTACCTGATCTAGAATCAATAACATCCTACGTACTGCGTTGCTGGTTTGCCTAGGATTTAACTGGTACCAGTGCATGTTACACTGGTAAAGCTCGTGTATATATTGTACAGACTTGGTGTGTGACTGGTCAGAGTGTGTGGTAAAGCCGTTTTACTCCGTTCCAGTGCAAAATACTGGTTGTTTGCCTGTTATATAATTACCACAAGACTGTCTTTAGTTTTGCTTGACCTCATATATAACAGGTACCAGTACCAAATGAGTGGTGCAGCTTGTTTACCTGGTAGATAACTGGTACCAGCGTGTGGTAGTGCTGGTGCTGATCTTGGTTAAACTGGTTTAAATTGGTCACATAGTCTTTCCTTGCTTCTTCTGCAGCTTCTTTTTTCTGTTGAGCTGTCTGACGAGCCTGAAACCAGAAAACAGATGATAACACCCAGAGTATTCCACAAAGTATATTTCCCAACAACTCTACATCACAGGAATGTTTAATCAAGCAGTGACTATGTCCAATAACTTACATTTGTTTGGATCAAACACATGAAATTAATTATTTTTCGTCAGTGTGCATTAAAGGTCCCATATTATGCTTTTTCTGGTTTTATATGCTCTTTAGTGTGTTTTCCATGTATCCTGTGCATGTTTAGGCACATCTCTGTGCAAAAATTCAAAGTCTGCGGAAACGCGGCTTCTCCTACGTCCTCCTGTTAGCTGTAGCATTAACTGCATGTAACGCTCGGTTCTAGCCCCCCTCGATAAAAATCTGTCGGTCCGACGTCATTGTCAGTGTGAGATCACTGATCTAAGTCCATTGGCTCGTTGTGGCAAGCCCAGCAGCTCATGTTGAAATTTCCGAGACGCTTGCTGAGCAATTGACCAATAACAACAGAGCGGATCAGCAGACCAATCAGAGCAGACTTGGCCCACGTGGGGTCTAACAGTGTGGGCTCAGCAGAGTGTAGCTGACGGACTCAGAGCGTAGAGGGAGCAAGGAGGAGCAGTACATGAAAACAGACACTTTTTTCGGACTTTAGCTATTGTGAACGTACAAAAGTAGATACATAGATTAAATATACTAACCCCAAAAAGGGCATAATATGGGCTCTTTGAAGGTGTTGGTTTGTGTGCTCCCCTTTGTTTCTAGTCCGAATGCTAGGCTAAGCTAACATGAACCAAAGTCTAGATCTTTACTAAATACATTATGATATGAATATCTCAAAACAAGCCCCCATCCAAACATGTTTAACCGTTCCTTTAAAAAGCAGCATAAGTATTCAAATACAGAATAGAGCAACAAAAGGCAAAGTATTTTACCTTGAGAGAGCAGCGCTGAGAGAAAGAGAGAGAGAGACACAGACAGCATAACTGTTACTTCAAATCACATAAACTTTTCTGAATGTTAGTTGACCTTTCAAAGACATGTTCTCTCAAGGAGACAAACAGACAGAAAGACTGAAAATATATCAACCTTCTCTCCGTCTGTCTTGTTGTCCAGATCAATTCTGTCTGAGACTTGTTGAGCTCGCTCTGCCTCCTTACAGTCACGCTCAAACCGACGTTTACTCTGAACAACAACAAATAAACAAGTCAATCCAAATATCATCAAAGTAAAAGGTGACATTTTGTTTTATTGTTTTCATTACTATTTATTTTAATATGTACTGAAGTGTGTTGGTGGTCGGGGTCAGGTGTCACTCACAGACTCCAGCTGTTTCCAGGAGCTCTCAATGTGCTGCTGGGCACGGCGGCCATCTTGAAAATGCTGAAACAAACATTATGGAGGGTTTTTGCAACTTTTTCTCCATGTAAGTACATCATGAGTCAGAAGAATCCCTTGAATGCCAATGGTTTTTTTTGTGTGTTTTATGTTTTGTTTGTTCGTTTGTGTACTTACAGTCTTCCTTTCAGTCTTCAGTTCTTGTGTGTATCGGGCCAGCTCACAGACAATCTGAGTGCTTAGGTTATCCGCAAGTTCTTCTCTCTGAACCGAGAGTTCGTTCAGCTGACGTAGAGTCGCAGCAAATGCCAAACACCATGTGTACCTGTAACAACCAATCAAAAACCAGATGTACCAATAACAGCGTCAATCAGAGACCATATGTGTGAAAGATTACGCCTCAGAAACCAGATGTTTCATTTAAAACAAATCAGAATCCACATCTACCTTCAAAAACCAAGGTGAGGTATGGATTCTCATCAGAGACCAGAAATGTCATTCACAGCCAATAAGAAAACAGAACAACCAATGAGACCAGAATCTACTCCTACAATTAATTAGGAACCACAGCTGCCTATAACAACCACTGAGAAACCATATAACAATAACAACCAATCATTCACCATTTAACAACCTATCCACAATCATATGTACCTGTAAAAAGCATTGATTAACCAAATCAACTTGTTATACCAGTAAGAGATCACATGTAAGTGTAACAGCCAAATTTGTTTATCCGACCAAACAGTCACTATAGTGTTATAATTTATGTCCATCACATTGTCCTTGCACTGCATTTGGACTCACTGATCACTATTTGGATCACTTCTTCCAGTTAAGTTAAAGGCAGGAAATAAAATCTGAAGAGCATGTAGTCAGGATTGAGAGGAGATGGACCAATAAGCAGAGCTGAAATCATAGTCGTGCTTTTAATGCGCTATCAGAAAATGTTTCTAAGGGGACAGGGACAGACCTAAGAAAACTTAGAGTCATTTTTTGCTCAAAAGAAGGCAAACATGATTGGTGGCTAAATGTTACACAACTGTTTGGCCCTAATAATCAAAATAAAAACAATCTAAAAATGTTTACTGACCTGCTCTCATCCTCTCTGCTTCTCTTAGGGTGATACTTCTTAGAAAGGCTCCTGCAAACAGATGGGTAAAGAGGCAGGCAGACAGGTATAGAGACAGGTATAGAGACAGGTATAGAGACAGGTATAGAGACAGGTAGTCAGAGGAAGGGAGAGAGATGGACACACAGTAAGAGACAGACAAGACAGCATTATAGGTAGACTAGGTATCGTTCATTTTTCTGTTGCAAAAAAATTACGATATTTGTACCAGAACTTTGAATCAAATGTTATAATATTTGTTTCCTGATTTAATTGAATTAAGAAATATAAAAAATATCTGAAAAGGGAATGTTGCTGAAACTCTTGGACAATGACAGTTTGATTTCTTTCAAATGAAAGTGATGGAGATCAGACAGATTTGCTGCAAATGTGACACTTGTACCTGATCTGTTTGGCGTAGCTCAGCTCAATCTCAGCTCTCTCTTTAACAAACTTGGTGTATCTTTCCAGGAAGTCGATTCCCCAGCTGGTGTGTTTCTCCAAGTTATCAAACTGATCCTGAAACACAAAACAGCAAAAAACTAAAAAACTCTTATTTATATATGTAGTCCCCAACACTGACTCTATCCTGTTAACTGCAGGACTGAATAACAGTAATAATACTGATAAACTTCTGAAGTACAGTATTACTGCTTTAGTGTATTATCCCTGAGGTGGTACACATGAGTAGTGTAGAGTAGAATTGATGCTTTTTAACAATATTAAAGTTGTAGTACAACATAACTGTAATGGAACAATTTACAGCAATTTCACAACAATTTTATTAATGAAATATTTTCTGGTCAAACCCTTCGGCTTTCATTCTATGTGTCATTTCTGGAGCTCAACACAACCCAACTGCAACACATTGGGGAGGGAGTGTCTGAGTGTTTTCAGCAGCATTGAATTCTGGATTAATTCAGGCTCAGAGAAAAATGAACCGATTACAAAGTATCCTTAATGAAACCTGGTCCAGGGCAAGCAGGACCTCAGACTGAGCTAAAGCTTCATGTTCCAACAAAACAACAACACTAAGGAAAGTCCAGACAACATGAGGCTCATGGGGAACTCTGTGGAAAACTTTCCTCTAGAAGTCTAAAAAACACCTCCAGAAGGAGAGATGTCAAAGTGCGCCTGGCCACAACCAGTGGCTCAGTAGTAATATTTATTTTAAGAATTTAGTATACTGCTTGTTTATTTATTTAATTTGTTGGCATTTGATTTTTTTTTTTTGCCAGTCAGTTAGATGTGTTCAGTCAGATTTCTTTCAAATATATTCTAAACCAGAATTGTGATGTAGTTTGTCATAAACTGACAACAACAAAAACATACAGATGTTGTGAGATGTCATGAGATGTCATCAATATAGATGGCACACTGATGTGCCAACTGGTACAATAGTATAATAGCTAATACTATTATTATTCATATTATCTGATCGCATCCTTGGTATTAAACTAAGGTAAATATGTAATATAAATAAGTAATTGTTGATAAGCATGTGAGCTGTTTATTATAGCTGTGCTTTAGCAGTGTAACAATGCGAGCTCACACTGGTTGTGATTCTTGGCTCACATGCTTTAGATGTAACACTGGACAAGGTGTGTAGGTTTCTTTCCTGACACATCACAAATGGGGTTGATAAAAAAAACCTTTGACCACAAGAGAGAGAGAGAAAAGGTTATGGCTCATCATGAGTCTCTTGCAGGTCCTTCTGTTACACTTAGAGGAATATTCTGTCTCTCCTGAGCAGGTGCTGCATCAGTGTCCTCATGAAAACACATTTATAATCATAAAGGTAGAAGTGAGCGTGGTTAGGGTCAGGGGTTGGGTTGGAGAGGGGGGGTCTCTGTCTCTCTCTCTCAGGTCGCGCGCTGCAGCATCGTGGAGGACGCAGACCGCGAGCCGTTGTCGTCATTCACCGTGTTGCTATGGCAGAGCAGACAGAAGCACGAGGGCCTTACACGACACATACACACACATAACCAACAGGCCGCCCGGTTACCGGCTCATCACAGATGGGTTACCGGATGAGCGATTGCAGCTTACGGTATTACCCGGTTTTTTTTTTCGGTGTGATACAGGGTGATGTCCGGGTGTAGCAGGTGTGAACAGGTGTACGTACCCACAGCTCGGTGCCCCAATTGCAGCTCATGGTGCCCGGTTTGCTCCTCGCGCTCCGCTGCAGCTGCTCCGCCTCTTGGTACCGATCCGACAATCACCGCGAGCTGCTGCTGCTGCTGCCCGACGCGCGCATCCTCACCGACACAACGGCTGCCTGTCTGTCGTATCTGTCTGTCAACAAGTCAGCCTCACCATGAATCTGTATGTCTGCTTGTCAGTCTCTCACCCTGTATCTGTCTGCCTGCCTGTCCGTCTGTCTGGGTCTGCAGCAGCACGAAAGCATAGGACGCGGTCACGCGCGGCGCGCCTCCCCGGAGGACCCTTTGTCATCAGTGAGATGCTGCGATTGTGTGTGTGTGTGTGTGTGTGTGTGTGTGTGTGTGTGTGTGTGTGTACTGAGCATGCTCAGTAGCTGCCCCGCCCTTCTGTCATACAGTCTAACAATAACTGTTCCGACTATCTCGTTTAAAGACGTATAATGATAAACGTCACTGTCAATTATCAAATCAATTTAATGATAGATTATTTTATTAAAGTAATTTTTCATAATTAAATGTCTGTTTTATTGTTAATTATATTCGTATCATTAACAATGCAATGAGCGTGTTTGCAGCGTCACAGGATTAAAGTTCAGAGAAACAAGCTGCAGGTTTTTTTGTTTTTTTGCCATTTGATGGCAAAAGAAACAACCTGCAATAGTTCTAACAAATACATTAAAGGAAAGTTCAATGTTGTGTTCCGTGGAAAGAGTCTGATGTTGTTTAAAGAGCTCAGTGTTTTATTTAAGAGTTTAGTGTTGTGCGGACAATTTGATATTTGTTTTTTGGTTTCTTGTAGAGTGAATAGTGTTGTCAGAACATTTTGATGATGTGCAAAGAGTCGTGGAAAGAGTGGGTGTTGATTTGAGAGTTTAACAGTTAAGTGTTGTGTGAAGAGCTTGTAAGTCACACAAAACACAGTAAACCTTCCTCACATTATTTCATAAAGGAGGAACATTCTGCTCCTTGTGTGATTTCAGTCAATGACCAAGGTTTATTGATTACTGAAAGTTTTGATTATTTGGTCTATTTCAATGGGAAACAAAAACATTTTGTGATTTCAAACTTCAAAATTAATGTATAACAAAGAAACCAAAACAGAGTCTCTGATCTGGCATCTTATTTCCATAGATAATCACTTCCATCAAAATAAAAGTCAAAATCTCTAAACTTAAGCTTTTACTTTCACAACATATAAAATCAATGTGTTGTATAACCACTCCCAAAACTTTTAATATTGCAATTTTAGCACATCGACTTCTGAAACCAATGTAAACGGTTGAACAGCAGAATAAAGTCATTGACGATAGAAGGCTGTAAGAAAAACAGAAAAATGATAGTACAAACTGATGTTGTATTCAGAAAAAAGGTAACTCAATACAATTATTTTAAGAGAAACCAAATCATTAGTGTTCACCTGATGAATTACAGTAAATAATTACTCTTTTTTTGTTGTTGCTCTATTTCGGTCTCAACCAGCTCCTACGGGAAACATTTGCATCTTTAGCTGGTAAATGCTCCAATGGGATCCCAAGCTCCTCTGTTCCTGTGTGTGTGTGTGTGTGTGTGTGTGTGTGGAGCTGTTTCTTTACAGTTGTGCATCCACAATGCTGTTATGCAAAGTTAAATCACAGACTAGGACTTGAAATCAGTATGAAATTACAACTATACAATTAGAGGTCTGTAAGGCAAAGATGAGCTGCAGATTCATCTTAGATTTTGTCTTCCAAAGTTTAGACATTACCGTTGAATAAATGTAGATGCTGGTGCTTGTTGTTAAATAACCTTTCTATGTGCCCACCTCCTGCTTCGCTTCTGCTGCAGCAGCACGTCTCCACTCCTGTGAGAAATACTTCAGCATTAGAGTCTCATGACACAGTATCTGACTTTACTGATTTCAGACTGCCTCACCTGTTCAGTTTCTTTTCCTTCTTTTGTTCAGTGGCCATCTTGTGGCTGACCCCCTTGCTCTCTCTACTCTGCAGCAGCCAATCAGCACAGAGCTCAGCAGGAGGACAGAGCTGACATCATCAGCACACATGTCAAGGAAATATGAGGGTTGAAAGTGAAGCATCAGCAAATCATCTTTACATACTTAAATATTCTGTTTCTTTATAAATGCCCCCCCCCCTAAAAAAAACTATTTTTTCTACAGGTTGTTTGAATGAGCATTTTGTTCACATATAACTACTGTATGTATTTTTGTCCTCAGCAGAACCCAATTAACTTCGAGCTCAAGCTGACTAAGAGCAGCAAGTTGTCCAACAGAAAACAACTTCATAAAAAAGAGGAAGCAGCACTTTTTAAATAGTCAATAAAATATTAATCAGGACATACACTTTAAATCTATACTAAGATTGCTGTCAGTGAGTAGACATTTTAAACTTCCATATACCTGAAAGGGATGAGAATACAATTCAGGCAATATGAACTTTATTCCCAAACCTAGGCTGGGTCTATTCTGTGGTGTTGTAAATGTCATTTAGATAAGTCAATTCCATTGTATCTGTATGCTGGATTTGGTCTATTTGATGGCATAGTGCTATATGTTGGGTGGGCTTGATCTATGTTATGGTTTTGTTTGTTGGGTTCAGCTGGTTCCATTTTATAAGAATGCACCTGTACTTTGGGCTTAATATAGTTCACTGTGTGGTAGCTGTAGGTGTGCAATGTATATTTCATGGTTAGGCTCGGTGTATGTCATGATGTTATGCTGTACATTTGGGTGGTATATTTCATGGTGCAGAACATGTACATTGGGTTTAGACATTTGTGATATCATTCTTGTGTGTTGGGCTTTGTCTGTTACATTTTGTTGAACCAGTACATTTGGCTTTATACCTAGCTATAGTACCTGAGTGTTGTATGTGTAGGCTGAGCTTGGTCTATTTAATGGTCTAGTAATGTGTGTGGTGCTTAGTATTTAAATGTCTTTACTGGTGGTATCCATTTCATGGTTTAGTCCCTTTGGCTTAGCACCTATGTAATGGTGTATTATCGATGGGTTAGGCTTGAGCTATGTCATGATACAGCTGCGTATCGAGGTATCAATAAGTATAATTATTTTGTGTTGGGATGGGTCTATTCCTTGGTGTTATACCTGTACATTTGAGTCTTCAGCTGGAACTAATTCCCGGACCATCTCCAGGAAGGCCACTGTTTTTTCCAGCACTGTAACCATGTCAACACCACTGCCGTGGATTATGGGTAACATATTTTGTAGTGTCCTGCAGCCCTGGGTGATGCGTTTCCTGTCAGGGATGACATCATCCAATTATTGTATGTCAGAAGACACCTCTCATTGTATGTGAGAGGACACCTGGGCAGGAGCCATGCTTTTCACACAGCATCCTGTTCATGTGACTGCAGCTTTGACCTCAGGTTTGAAACTGTAGTGTGACCAACTTCATAATAAAAGCCCAGAAGGACAGTACCTGCGTTGTCTCTCCAGTAAAACACAGCTGCTTCTGTTTTTCAGCTCCTGATGAGACTTCATCTTCATTTCACACACTCTCAGACCCTTATCCTTCTCTTCCTCATCATCATCCTCCCCATCCTCATCCCCTTCTTCCTTCTGCTCCTCCTCCTCCTCCTCCTCTTCATCATCATCTGGTGAAGTTGCAGTCAGCAGAGCGCTGGTGTCAATAGTGGACAGAATTTGATCTTCAACACTCAAAACAGCCTTAAAAGCTGACTCAGGACCAGGGCTCTGTACAGGTCCAGTTCTGGTCTCTTTAAAGGGGGTGAGATGTTTTTTGTGATCCATCCTATAAAACAAACAACTATGACAATCTAAACTACAACTAACTTTAAACTGCTACAGTATAAACTATTCAAGACAGCAAACTAAAAAAATACCACACTATTCAAATTATTTGGCTGACCTACAGGTGGCACTAACTTGTGAAGAATTGCAGTAATGCACTTACAAAGCCGGCAGTGAGGGAGAGGACTGACAACAGGTAAATGTAAATGAATATTATTTAAAAAAAAAATTGCAGCCATTTCTTTGCAAATGAGCTCATGAGTTTTATCAAAACAGTGAAATCATACATTTTCCATGGTTTTCTAAAAACTGAGCCATTTTTAATGTTCTGGAATAACTTGTGTTTTGTCTCAAAGTTTATGGTTAGTTGATTAAAAAATACCTCAGTATCTAAAAAATTAAGCTGCTGACAGTACCTCAGTTACTGATCCAAGCATGCAGGCCTCTGGTCCAACAGTTTTTCATACACCTGTGTGTCTGCTCGACCTGAATCACTCTCAAAGTCTGCTGCTTGTTTGCTCTCAGTGAACGAGCTTCACCAGGTGGAAACACTTCTTGATAACAACATAATGCTGTCATGACGAGGACATTTCTTTTGTTTCTTTTCCATATATTTAACAACAAAACACACAACTCCTCCATAAAAGTTCAAACCACAGAATTCATTTTATTGACATATTTTATTTAGGAGTTGATTTATTTTAAAAGCCAAAATACTTAAGAAGCTACAGATTGTTAAACATTTAGACATCAGACTCTTCTGGTTTCTGGTTGTGAGGGTCTCAGGTTAAAGGGTGAGCTGGAGCTCTCAGTTTATTAAATCTTAGGGTCTGAGAGTCTAAGGATAAAAAAATCTGGAGGAATTTGAGAGTGTAAGAATCCTAGGATATGAGAACTTAATGGGAAAGATTAAGAACCTCAGGATATAAGTATCCCTCAAGTATCTGAGGGTCTAAGAATTTAAGTGTCTAACAATTGTAGTTGTTGATTTTTTTTTCAATCCTTATGGTCTTACATTTATAGCTTGTAATAATTATAGGTCTGAGAATTTAGATTTTAAAATGTAGGGGTCTAAGTGTATGAGGTTTTTATCTGAGGGTCTAACATCTTAGGGTTTTGCATCTGAAGGTGTGTTTGAAATATATTCAATTAAATAAATATGTGAGATATAAGAGTAGATTATTGCAGACAAGATCATTTTACATTTTTTTTTATTTAGACAAGCTCCTCATGTCAGGACCAGGTACAGGGTTCAGGATCCCCTCTGCTCTGATGACTTTCTACCAGAAAACTGACATTAAATATCAGACAGTAAATGTCTTTGGAGTCACATCATGAACCCGAGAGCTGTGACGATTCAAACATTTTCCTTAAGATCTGCAACCGAAATGTCAGCGTGTCCTTCAATATCCTTTTCTATTAAATATCAGTCTGCTCTCAGTGTATAGAGATCCTGTTTCATATGTTCTATATATCATTGGAGACATAAGAACTGCATGTGACTAACTTATTGCATTCTTTTAAATGTCATCTGGAAATGTTTGTGTGTGTT